GGTCGTTTTTAATTCTTCTAGCTGGTAATCTGCAACAGGGGGCCCACGTGATACATTCATGGCTTTGTATTTAGTATCGACTCCGTAAGTTGTCTTGATTCTAATAGTCTGATCCAGATTCATTAATCGGGGAGGATAGTAAAAGTCAAACCCCTGAATGTTCTGTCGTGTCTTTACTACGTACTACGAATAATCATTTTCTCTCCTGTTCTGTTTCTGAGTTGTCAGAACCCAGATATGCGGATCAGTCCACAGCTACGTAATGCTGAAGATCATGATATGCATCCCTTTTTACTGGATCAGGCACTGTAGAGTGTAGATAGACAGGTGTAACTTGTGCTTGTATGTAGTTGAGGAAGCTTGGTTGGACACCCGTTGCTGCCGTTGGTCCACCCGTCCAGGGCCAGAAGTGGGCCCGAATTTCCACATCTCAACACTATTCTTGGAACGTCCCATGCTTGTGCTTCTTCAGTGTTTGGACCTGGATTGCTTGTTTGGCATAGGTCAAGGCAATGTCGGCAGATTTGTCCTCCAAAAATGAGATTCGGACCGTAAGCTGAATTCGTATATAGGCATCATCACTTTGTGTACATTGGAAACAGTCAGAAGCCAACCATGTGGCTCGATTCAGGTTGAAGAGGCATTTCATGGACGGAATGATAAACTTTGTTCATCCGTGGATGCTTCGGGATTGCGTGCCACTGACCCACAAGGGTCTTGCCCCAGGACCAGCGTGGTGGAAAACGAAGATGGCCCTGATCAAGTAATCAAGCAAAAGGGTCTACGACTCTCAGTCGACGATATGACGAATCCAGCACGGCACTTCCTCTTCCCAATCCCAGTGAGGGACTCAGGGTCTCTCGAACAGCGCATATCCTATCGATAATCCACCACAGTAAGTGCTGCTAAGCATTGCGGATCCCGGTCCCGTTCCTGATCAACATCGGTCAGTGGATTGGTCGGTATGAAAACATTGAGCCGTGGTCTGCTACCTGGGTAATGATGTATGCTCATCAGGCTGAAGCAGTTGGTCTTCGATGATCGTCAGGCGCATTGGTTAAATGCATCTGACCCTCCCTCTGGCAACCATGCAGGCAATCAACAAGATGTTGATGCACCGGTTTGCGCGCCATGGCCTCTTAACGGCGGTCTTTTTCATGCTCTTGATCACAGTGTGGTCATTGAACTTGGATTTTCTGATATCGAATGTAAGTCATGTCATTGCCTAAGTGGAAGTAAAGGACTGATCGTTGGTCTTCGGAAAACAGCGACGCAAGACCGCGCAAGAGAGGTATCTCGAGGAACAAAAGCTGTATCCTAGGTATGCATACGTTCCATCAGGGTACTAAGGACGGCAGCTAACGTACGACTCTTGTTGTGTATAGTGTGTTCAGCCATGTCGTCTCCACACTGGACCGGATCGCCGTCTCTCCGAGTCACGACAACCGTACCATTCTCGAAGATCCTCGTTTCGAAGGAAGGCAAGGCAGCAAGATCCCCAGGATATACCGCCCATACCCAGACTACAGCAGTCAAGAATGGCAGAACGCGCATCGCGGTTCGTTTGTTCCATGCGAGGGCCCGCGTGGGAAGCTCCTGAATGAGAGTTTAGAAGACCAGGTCGGCGTTTACATTGGCGTTCCTGATGGTAGGCTTTGTCTGTGCTTTCTGGATTTCTGGTGAATTGAGAATGCTGACGCACAGGCCAGAGTTCCCATCCCCTATGCTTGGTAGCCACGAGGCCGTCGGGTTCGATGCTCAGGTTTCCTTTGACCGCTACACTAGGTATGGTGCTTATGGCTTGGGGGAGGACGAAAGTTTTGTGGCCAACTGGATCAAGCCATCCAAGGTCAAGTGGAACGAAGTGGATTGGTCAGACCTGCAACGCCAGTGCTATGATAGCAATGCCGCCAGATTCTCTCGGAAGAATGACGGTCTCCCCAAAGCAAAACAGCACATCGCTCCCGAGTCTCGAACTGCCGTTCTCCTTCGCACCTATGTCGGAAAGAAGTATACCGAGAATGATCTTCAAGTGATCCGCTCAATGATCACTGAGCTGTCCCTACAGTCAGGAGGGGAATACTCTGTCTTTTTGCTCCTTCACGTCAAGGACTCGGAACTCCCGATCGACCAGGTTGAAGTACAGCAGAGGGTCCTGAAAGATAATATTCCGGAAGAATTCCGGAGCATGACTATTCTCTGGAATGTGCCAATGGTCGCGTCCCGGTATCCGAATCTCGATCGCAATGTCATTGAGTACGTTCGCATGGCAATCAGGTCACTGATCGAGTTCAGCTGACTGTTTGTAGTGTCCATCATGCGCAATGGCTTTCCGTCCAACATTTCGCCCTGCAATATCCCGACTTTGACTTTGTGTGGAACTGGGAGATCGATGCTCGATTCACGGGCCATCACTATGAGTTCGCCAACAAGGTAGCCGAGTTCGCTCGGAAGCAGCCACGACGGGGGATGTGGGAGCGCAATTCTCGCTTTTACATCCCGGCAGTTCATGGTGCCTATGAGAGTGCTTTCCGGAAGTTTGTGGAGCGTATCGAAGACGAAGCGGTCTGGGGCCCTTTACCCATCCCCATCAACGACAGGGAGCTCCTCGGTCCCACCCCGCCGGTGCCCTCGCCGAGCCAGGACTCCTATGCTTGGGGAGCTGGCGAGGAAGCTGATTACATTGGCTTTCTTCCAATATTCCATCCCATCGGTACAGAATGGGTCATCCGGAATGAGGTATCAGGGTACGTGGGAGTCGACACTCCCCGCCGAGCCTCGTTGATCACACATTCCCGGCTTTCGAGGAGATTGTTGCTCGCCATGGACGCCGAGAACCTCGCTGGTCGGCATATGGGCTCGGAGATGTTCCCAGTCACCACCGCACTGCATCACGGGCTCAAAGCCATTGCCGTGCCGCATCCGATATACTCAGACAAGAACTTGCCTCCGGAAAGCGTGGATAAATGGTTCAACTCCGGTGTCAATGGGAGAACCGGAAGCACAAAGAACAGTCCCTTTTCCTGGGGCCGGGAATCCCGCTTCAAGGACCTCTCGTGGTACTATCGTGCCAATCTACCAGGACGGCTGTATTGGAACTTTCTGGGATGGAGAAAGGAGGGGACTGGAGGGAAGCTGGTAAGAACCGTGCGTAAGCTATGACCAGGCAGTCGTGCTAATTGCGGTGCATTATAGTATGAGACCTTACATGGACGGGTCTGTCTTCCGTCGATACTTTTCCATCCTGTCAAGGATGTTCGACCGGACTCGGATAGCACACACTATCAGTTTGATTCGGAGTTGGGATATGTTGCCACTCAGTGATACCTCTTCGTTTTGTCACCTCGTTCGTTGTATATATTTAGACTGGTTTGTACTATATATTCGCTTTAGCCTGACCAGAGTCGGCTCGTCCAGTGGAGTCCGGAGTCTGTGATCACATACGGAGTACCTTTTGAGTCTCTCGTTTGCCTTTCATCTGGTGTTCGGATAGAGACCAGGCACCTTTGGCGTGCATCTTGTTCATGCGTGGTATATATCTCTATTGGTATCTCATCATTGTGTTCGCTTCACTCCAATCCCAACCACACTCTGACATCTCCAATTCAGTGATCATATTCATAATCAAGAAGTACCTGCATCACTCATATGTGTACAACCGTCTAACTCCAAAGCTTAAGTTAATTCAACATTAGAAACAATGACACAATGCAAGTATCGTCAATGTTGAAAATGTGATCTATCACACCTCGCACCACATTCCCCGATTCAATCATCGATGTCTGATATCTTACGACTGTCGTATTACGCTGTACGGAGTACCTAGACTCAATACCTTAAGGAAAATGTCATATGGAACGTCCCTACTCCCTGCTCATGGAATGAGTTTTCGCCATCAGTACAAAGTACAGAGCACCCAGCTCTTCCTGGAACCACTCTGTACGAACTGTGCTAATGAACTCGAAAGAATATTACCACTTACCAAGGCTCAGTGTGAGTTGACTACCAGTGGTCCATCTCCTCAACCCCATCAAACAAAAACAACAATAAGATTCCGCTTCATCACAGCGAAAAGAGACAGACAACCTTTCGAATCCTCACTCCCGCCATCGAGACAAGAGACACTAACTGACACTGACACTTTCCAAGTCCAGCACTCATCCCCCAAACGGGCCTCTTACACGACGCCGCGTCGCCGGGAGGGATCCCCCCCGGCTCCTAGCGTCGGTAGTGGCTGGATCTTCACACCAATGAGAATATGGAGATGGCAGATGACATGGATGAGCGGGGTGCTTGTTCTGGTGATTTCGACGATTTGGGGCGGTTACTGCGCCGTGGTTGGTACCAGGGTGGGAGGTAGGTAAGCTACCTTAGGAAATATGCAGTACGGGACAGGGGGCAGTGTTCTTCACCTGTTCAGCCAGCCACGGACGGACCGGTGGGATGATGCAGGTGTTCGGATCTGGGTTCTTCGGTTGTCAAGGGTTGAGCGTTGATTCTGAGGACTAACCATGATACCTTGTCACAGAAGTGTGGTTGAAAATGATTGGTTTCAAGATGAGGTTTAGAGAATCAATCAATGAATTATCAGTCTCAATACATATTGCAAGATATACTGAAGATGAACTTGAAATCGTGGCCTGAAAAAAATCGGGATGAATTGGAAACGCCAGCATCCCAACGCCATGCGAGTCCGACCTTGTCAGACAGTTTGTAGACAGACAAATAAGAGAACCCATAACCGAGAAGGTAACGAAAGAGATGAGGGAATGGAGTGGTTCGAGACAGTACAGTCGCGGCAAAGGAATAAAACGCAAGAAGCAGCAAGTCACCCAAAGACATAGCCATGCTTTTCTCGCTCATAATGATAATGATGGTATTGATGCCCCGATGATATACTGCCCATGATGATGATAGTAACGCTGCACGATGCTAAACACAAAGAAATGTTGATATAGTTCTCGTAGAACATTGTACGGTAGGTGATGACCATTTTTGGCCTAGGTTCTGAGCCGACTGGCGCGGAAGGCCTTGATATCAATAGATTCAACTGAAATAGACGAAGCATCGTCAACTTCGATTTCCTCGGTGCACGAAGCCTGAGGTTTGTCGCGCTGGGGTTCGGCAATCGTCTTCGTAGGTGAGACCATGACACTTTCCTTCTTCACTTCTTCTTTTAAAGACACCTCTGGTTGCTCGGCTTTCAAACTTTGCGCTTCTTTCGTCGCCAATTCGAGCAGTGACCGAAAGTTCTCCACAACACCTTTCAATTCCGCTGAGCAATCTCCATACCGCAGAAATTGGTAAGCTGCTGTCTCGCAGAGGCTGTGTACCAGCTCGAGCTGTTTATCTACCACGTCAAAAACCGTTTCTTTCGGAGGAACGCGGCTTGAGGAAGCCTCAGCCGGGGGAGGACCCCTGTTTCGGATGCTGCGAATATTGGACAGTATGTCGCTATCAGAACCGTCAACCTGGTCCAGAAGAGCCGGTGCTACACGATTCTTCCTTGCGTCTTGGTTGCCCATGCGCGATCGGAGCCCACCCAGGGAGATCTGTGACATCTTGCCTCGTCGCATATTGTTCCGTGCGGTACCGATATTCCGTACCATCTCCTCCAGCGACTTTTGCGTGTGACCGTCGTAGTGAATGACCACGTTGTGTCGAATGCTGACAAAGGCGGCAGGCCCGTCGGCAGAATCGATGGAAGGACTATCGTCGGCACTGCGTTTCCGGGGATTCCCAATCAACCTAATCTGGGACGTTGGGGCTCTCAGTGCAATGCTAGAGGTTCCTTGGGTTGCTTCGACCGAGGTCCCGCGATTCGGGGACGAGGGGAAGATGTCATCGGTGCGGATGGAGCAGACGGAGCTGTTCTTGCGACGCCGGGGCCTCACCGGGGCGTACTTCTTGTAAGCCTCGGTGTACTCGGCATGTTTCGCAGCGGTATAGGTGGCCAGTTCGGAAATTTGATCAATCCAAGCCGGCAGATTGTCGCACATATAGGAGAAGGCTCCTAAAGCGTCCATTGTAGGAGCTATGGCTGTATGCTACGTTGAACACAATTGGGAGGTTAGAAAAGAAGAGAAACAAGGACGAAGGTGACCAAATGTCTTCAGATCCTATTTAGAAATGATATTCGAATAAATCGTGCCGTCGTGAGTCGTGAGGTTCGATGGTGGGCGAGTACCGTAGGTCGCGGTCGGAACCCGTTGGTTCCTTAGTATCCTCCCATGAGGCGAAAAAGTGATCACTCAAAACAGTGGAAATTGGGCGTGGTAGTAGTGAGTGTTTGTTGTCTATGAGATTGGATATTGTTCTCAATGACGGTATAGAGGCCGCAGATAGTATCGCGGGATATGAAATAAAAAAGCCGACCGATGGCTGTGTGAACGAAGTCGAAGGTCAAAAAGAGGTATGGGAGGATGAGAAAGAAATGGGGAGAAGAGACGGGACGGGCCAGAATTATGGAGGAGAGAGTGGAGGAGACGTATTATTTCTGACCGAGAGAGGTAAGGTAATGTTACATATGTGTTACGAACGAGTACCTACCTAGGTAAGGTAGAGGCCGAACAACAGGTCCAAGTACCGTCTTGCAGGAAGTGTTTGTTATACCAGTATGTACTGGTAAGTGGTACTTTCATTCCCCGAGAATGAAGCCCGAGACTTGGCATGGGTCGACGGCTGCAGGAAGCCGCATTTGTTGTTATCCGTAAGGTAAGGTATGGGTTACTCCGTACGCTATGACAGAATTACAGGGATGTATCTTACGATACCGCTGCATGAGCGAGCTACTGTCATACTTGGTAGAGAGTCAGAGTATTCTGTACTGCTGTCATACTAAAGGACAATCAACTTTAGGAATTGAGCTAAGAATAAGGACTCATGCCCAACGGAATATCCCTGCTAGCTTTCCTTGGCGGTTTGTCCTGACGTCGGGTATCATGGTATCATGGTATCATGGTAGGATTACCTTGGGGTATCTTACCTATGCTCCGACGCTTGCTTCTCCACAGTCAACAGATACAATGGCAATGCAGTATCTGTTGGCTTCTCAATTGTTCAGAATACTCCTCAAACACCCGGGTCATCTAGTCTAACGGCCCCAAGACGCTGCTGACATCTGACAGCTCGTCAAAGTTGCGGTGAAAAGTCCCCTCGTGGAAGGTCTGCCTGCAATTCGATATGCAAGACAGCGGTTCCGTCTATCACAGGCTGCTGACTGCCAATCAATGCTCAACACTTTGTCCGTCTGTCATCTAAGAGGACTATAGTGCGAAGCGTGAACAACCTGATACTAGAACGATTAATCGCATTGTTCCCCGCCCCGGATTCGATGATATGGGTCCGTCCTTGACAACAGCCATTGTATGATGTGCGTGGAGGGGTGGATGATCAGAGTGCGCATTGCCCGATGGAGTAAATGGATGCCATACAAGGTGGATTTGATTCAACCCAGAAAGTCTCTTTTGCTTCGTCTGCTCCACATCAAATTACTTGAGTCTCCAATATGAATCAGATAAATGGGCCCAGTCTAACTAGGCAAGATCAAGGAGCTCCTCGTGTGGAGTACGTACTTCGTATCGAATTGAGGGCAGGATGTCTTTGCAGCAGCATCAAGCAAGATTCCGAGTTCTAAGTTACTAACACTACTACGGCTGTAATAAGCGAATGAAACAACCATAGGATGACTAGTAGTTAACGTAATCCACGGCCGAGCCGTCCACACGGCCGTCCCGTCCATTTTCGCGCCCATCTGCTGCAGATTTGAAGCCTTTCAACCCCCAACATCATTAAATTAGACTATTAAGTAGCTGATTATATAG